TTTTGGACTACTCTTGGACTTAAAAATACCATGATGTTTACCCAGAAGTGTGTTATCCCATATATACAGTCAAACCAAAATTATTTAGACACCTTGCTATCCTAACATACATAAATGCACTATTCTCAGAATGTTTTCTTTATAACATCAAGTAAATGCTGCATTTAAGTGTTTAGAAGCTTTTGTCACCTCTCTACTGCAACCTTGGCCCATTCCTCACTTGAGAAAAGCTTGCAGATTACTCATAATCTTGAGGTTTCATGTTGTCCACTGCTTTCTTCAAATTCCGAGAAAAAAAACGAAAAAAACGAGAGTTCAATCTGAAGACTACAGGCCAAGAACACGACTGATCCCTAAAGCAAGCTCAAGTAGATTTGGATCAGTGATGCGCGGGTTGATCCGAAATGAGCGGGTGCCTGCGGTCACCCGCGGTTACCCGCAGTTACGGGTCATCCAAAAATGTTTTTAATGATATTCGGGTCGCGGTCGGTCGGGTCGTTTGAAAAAAAGATGCCAATTAAACATTTGTATATAGTACTAGACACAATTTTTGATGAAATATACAGCCCTACACATTATTGGCTGAATACTGGCACGAAGATAACACACAAGGTCAGTCTTTAACAGTTCTCGGTTCTATACTAGTGTTTCGAGAACCGCTGTCCCTGTGCGTTCGGTAGACGCATCAGCTGCTCGTGCTCATCACTTCTCTCAACAGTGGCACCAACATGTCTCGGTTCAGTGAACTGTTGGAGTTACTGGAGTAAAATATAACTGGAGTAAAATATAATTCAGGATATTGATTTATTTCGATTCGGAGGCGACTGTCAGGCATGTCTGTGAGTAACTTTAGTAACTTGTGGATCATCAGCACTGACGCAAGAGGCTAACTGTTTCGAACGATTCAGTTCGAGTGTACTGGTTCGACCGGTTCACTAAAAAGAACCGGTTCAAAAGAACGATTCGTTCACGAACCGGCCATGTACGATGATCACTACAGTCTGCAGAGAGATGGAGGCGGCAAGAGAAAAGGTGAAGACTGGGGAGTGGAAGCTCCGCAAATACACAAATAGAAAGAGTAAAAGTGTGGGAGACATTTGCAGAAATAATGAAAGATGATGACCAAAGTGCTGGCTTTATTATGTGTAGGCCTACGTCTTCTTGCGATGCTGTGTTGTTACACGTCTGTATGGCCCAATAACGCTCCGATGAGCATTTACTACTTTAAAAAAAATGCGGTCAGGAAGCGGGTCGGGTACAATGTTTTTTTTTACTTTTTTTTGCGGTCCGAGTTGCGGGCGGGTAGCTGAAGACGTCGGTCGGTTGCGGGTTGTTTATACATTGACCCGCGCATCACTGATTTGGATGTACACTTTGGGATGGTTGAGGAAGTCCATTGATCATCAAGCTTCAGTCTCTGCCCTGAAGGCATCACATCATCTTTGCAATGGCTTGATACTTCAAAGAATTCATGATGTCCTTCATACAGGCAAGATTTCCACTTCCTGCAACAGCAAAGCACCCATATAACAAGACTGGACCGCCTCCATTTTTGACCATGGAGATGCCTTTTTTGCACCAGACATAATGCTGATCCATTGGTAAAAAAAGTTCCAGTTTTTCACTTCACTCCATAAAACATTCTTTCAGAACTCCACATTTCTATCCAAATGAATTTCAGCACATTCAAGTTGTCCTTTAATGTTGTTCTTGGTTAAGAGTGGTATTTGGCAAGTTCTCCCAACGTGAAGGTCGTGCTTGTCTTGTGTTCTTCTTATATTCAGCATTGAGATGTTTCTTCCACTTTTCATGAGGTCATCTTGCAAGTCTTTGGCTGTAAATGAAGGGGTTTTCAAACCCCTTTTTTTTTCAAACATGTTATTCCCCTTAATGATATTGTGCATTTTGTTCAAAACCATCAAAGAGTTTCTGGTATTACAATTCTTATGAATAAGGTTGCCGGCTGTGTCTCTAAGAACTTTTAATGTTTTGGAAATCTTGTAGCCATAGGCTTTCTTCTTCTCTACAGATTTTGTGAGAACTCTTTTGCTTCTGAACCTTCACATGCATTCAGTTTTATTATAGAATTTCCAAAGGCTTGGACTGAAAACAGGAGTGTTGAATAGGGGTTGAATATTTATGACAAGGCTGTATTACCAAAAAAAAAAAAAAAAAGCATTACAAAAGCATTACATTATATATTGACATCACTTTTGATTTGCCACAAAACTGTTATAAATGCAATAAAATTTTGATTGCATGTGGGAAAAAAAACTATCATTATTGAATTTGTATTATTATTATTTTATTATATATTTTTGCCTTGTGACACGATTTTCATGACAATTCACAAAAACAACCAATTTTTGAATTTAGAAAAAAAACAAAAAACTTTCAAAGTAACTTGCAATGCTTCGATTGACGATGTGGGAACGGACTACATGATTGCGTCGTGAAGCACGTGTGAAATCAGAGACGTCAGAAGTGAGTGACGCCACGAACCAGGAAACCATAAAGCATGCCTAAACATTGCAATGCTAGCCTCTGTGTCTTCAGTAAGCTTTATATGTGAAATAATTTAACATATTGGTGCTGTCTGTCTACCAGAATTTATATATATATATATATATTGTGGTGAGCAGGACGGCCGAGGGACGTGAGAGAAAGTCGCGAGGCCGGTGTCGCGAGGGGCTGCTGGCAGGTAATTTGTTTGTTTATTTTATTTAAATAAAGTAAACAAACAAATTACCTGCCAGCAGCCCCTCGCGGACGACTGCTGGCTACCCAAAATAAAACATAAATACCGGCCAGCAGCCCCTCACGGACGACTGCTGGCTTACCAAATAAAATATAAAATACAAATAAAAGCAGGCCTGTTCCTCTCTCGATCATCCACTCCGTCGCTCCCCCTTTATGGCTCCGCTCCTTCGTGAGAGATGCGAGACCGGTGTGCTTCGCAGGTGCTGCTCATTAGCAATCGCAACACCGGCCTCGCGACTTTCTCTCACGTCCCTCGGCCGTCCTGCTCACCACATATATATTTGGGCATACTTTATTGTTTCCTGGGATCTCAGTTATAAAACGTTATGTAGGATCCTTTGTAAAAGTGTACGTGCGCCCGAAAGCGAAAAATGGCATACGCCAAAAAATATCCAGACTTATAAAACCGTGCTTACACCAGAACCTGTACAAAATTCCCTTTTACAAATCCCAGTTAGCAGAAGTTTGTGCGTACATGCATCTCCACCCCGAAATAACCATATATGGAGCTTACAACGCCTAGTTTTACTTCGCATTTCCTCATCTGCATATCATTTGATGATACCACGTTTAACACGTTTAATGGTAGAAGACATTAGGAAAATATAGGATACGGATGTCCCGTCACATTACATTGATTAAAATAATGTTAGTAATAATTGTAATAATTCAGTAGCATATCCTTGCCTTGTTTTTGAATAAAGAAATTAAATAGTATAAAATACAGAGAAAGTTGGGATGGATATTTGCTTCAAAGTGATAAGCTTGGTGTGTGAAATTATATTTGTACCATCTTTCTGTATATGTATATCATTTTATTTTAATTTTCTGTGTAAAAGTGACCAAAAAGACATTTACGTAACTGCTCCGTCTCCAAAACGTTCGTACGCATGGGTCAGAGTTTGCGTGCAGGTACACAGCTTTTCCCACCAAGTTTGTTTTTATAAATCACAACTTATGCATAAGTGGCGTACACCTTTTTCAGAGACATGGTTTTAATTGAGACCCCTGGTTTATGACGTCAGCCACTTCGGACGTCTTGTTACACCTTAGGACTGATTTCACACGTGCTTCACGATGCAATCAGGCTGTGCGTTCCCAGATTGTCAATCAAGAGGGAACTCTGCAGGGAACCAAGGTTACAGTCGTAACCGAGAGATTTTCTCGTCCTCACTGTGTCTGTTGTCAACACTGTTGGTGTTGCTTTATTAGATGTTATTTTAGGTCAACTGGTTATAGACACTCTTTCAGGCGTCTTGGCTATTTTCTCCATAGGAATTTCAAAATATTCTTTTGTTAAAGCAAAGCAACCACATTCTTGATAAATAACTACATGAGCACAAAAGTAAAACAATAAAATAGGTTAAAAAATAACTGCTTGTTCCATGAAGCATTGTAAATGATGTAATAGAATATATTGTATCAAAATTGAGTACAAATATTATGCATTTGATGTTGTCCTGAAGTTTGTCCTCTAAATGTATACAAATGTCCATGTTGTTGAGTGTGCATGGTTGCATAATTCCTAATACTTTCTGGGAGTGGACAGTCACTGTTCTCCTTTTCTTCTCTTTTTGATGGGTGGATCTCTTTTTAGGATTAAAGGTAGTGCTGTCCTTCGCTAGAAATTCAGCAGTTAAACATGAGTTTGTCTATTTATTTGTGCATTCATTTATACATTTTTATAAATAAACAAATACATGTAAATAATTATATGTATTTGTTTATTTTTATGAATTAATGAATATGTATTTGTTTTGTGATTTTTAGTTTGTGTTTATTTATAAATGAGTAGCCTCTAGGCTTAAGTCTCAAGTTAATTCTATTTAAACAGGTTTATACATTACGGTTGAAAATGTAACTCTCTAAGGAGAACATGATTTGTTCAATAACAAAAACATCTATGAAAAGAACTGAAAGAAATCCATACATATTTGAAATGATGACGGCGATTTCATTTTTCAAATTTTAGATTCACATCTTACTGACAAAGTTCAGGATTTGTTTCACAATGAAAGCACTGAGCACTGACCTTTTGCTTTTTCACTTTTGTTGTTGTTTTTCCTTCATGCCTGATGGTTTTATCCCTCCACTCTAAATCTTTTCCAGCCCTTTACTTGCACAAACAAATCATTTCCTGTTTTTCTTCAAACAATGATTGGTTGTGTCATCATAAGCTGTGTGCTTCGATCTCAGAAAATACAAAAATCACTGTTTCTCTTCTTTCTCTTGTTCTACAGAAATGTTGAAGGAATTGAACCAGCAGCGGAGAGAGAAAGAGTTTACAGACCTGAAAATAATTGTTGAAGGCAAAGAGTTTGAAGTCCATCAAAATGTTCTAGCTTCCTGCAGCTTGTATTTCAAGGACATGGTGAAAAGGTTTGCTTTCCTCCCGTCCTTGATCTATTCTGTTCTTTTTGTAGGGTGCATTTGTGTCGCCTCCTTTTCCCTCCCCATCTCTTGCAGGTCTGAAGGCATCGGTTCCTGTCACAGGGCCAGTAGCCATTCTGTCTGTTCCACCAACGAATGTATTTCTCTGCTGAAAAAGGTTAAGGCGTGGACCAATCTGACACTTTCACCTCCATTTATTAAGCATGCCAATTAGCATTTTAATGGGCGAAGGAGTTCCATGACTGGGTTATTATTTTTTTTTTAGTTTGAAATGTTTGGAAATGTCAAAACAAATGAAAGGCAGATTTTAGGAGTACGTTTGGCATATGGCATCAGCGCTACGCTCCAGCTGTCTGTATCAAGTGCCCAGACGGGATGTTTTAGTCGCCTCTCATCACCTTTTACCTGCTGTGACTCGCTCCGTATCTACGTGGAAATTCACACAGCGCTTTGAGCGTGCCGTCGGGATTAAGCCAAACTGCAAACTGCACGGATCTCGTTTATGCTTCGGGAAATTCTGTTTCTTGCCGACTTGCGTCTCTTATTGATGCTGATATCAGCAGTCGGGTGTCCCAGAGCCGTGTGACTGACTGGATGGTGTTTTAGTAAAAAAGAACAACAACAAAAAAAAAAAAACGATACTGAATCATGTTTACAGGCAAAGAAATGTACAATCTCAGAATCTTTTTTTACATCAGGATACCTTTTGGTAAAGCTCTTGGGGAGAATTCTGCTACACATTTACTGCAAATTCGTGTTTTCACATGTAAATGAGCTTGCAAACAGTTTGCAGTAAATTTGTTGTGAACGGTTGTATCAAACCTTTAAAACTTCAAATGTTTATTTAAATTTGACACATTTTGCTTGGTGCTTGACTTTTATTAGCCAGCAGAAAAAAAAAAAGTGGAAATATGAACATAACATCTACATCCCACAGTGATTGGCAAAAAAAAGTCTCTCATATTTATATTGATAAAAAGTAAGATGAATCTCTGACAGCTTGTAATGTACTGATAAATAATCAGTGAGATATTTATAACACACATAAAAATGCAAATGTTGTCACTATATCTGCCAATAATATGTTATTTAAATGCTTAGTATTACACTGTAAAAATGAATATGCTTTATCAAATCAATAAAATTGTGGCAACAGATTACAAGCAATATTATTTATTAAATTGAACAAATTAGAATTGAGTAATAGTTAATCAAATTAATATTCTAATTAATTCTAATTTGTACAATTTAATTAATAATATTGCTTGTAATATGTTGCCACAATTTTATTGATTAGATAAAGCATATTATTTTTTTCAGTGTATGATCAAAATGTTGTATTTTTAAAACGTATAATGCTGAACAATACAATAGTGATTGAGAGATGAATACTAAACTGTAAAAGCTTAATGGATCGTACTTGATTCTTAAATTGAAATTTATTGTATTATGTATGGGTAATCAAGTAAACCTAAGTTGATTCAGTCCAGTAAGTGTTCATCTTAAAATATAACTAACAATGTAAAAGTTATTATTACATTTATTTACTTAATAAAAAATAAAAACCAGTGAAAAGCAAAAAGACACAAGCTGAAAGGGGACGTTTTTACAATTTCACCCATGCTTTCTACTTGCTAAAAAAAAGTCTTCCATTCAGACAACAGAAGACATTTAGTAGATTGTGTGCAACATGTTTTTCAACAATGTTCATATCAGACATCATGCAGTAGGTTTTATATGGTCAATATGTTTTTGAATCAAAGTGCACAACAGTACAAGCCATTGAATGCACTGTACATTATATCCATATCAGCCTTTTTTCAGTCGCATCAAAACAATCACATGAACCAGGGCATTGACTGGCTTGTGTAATTGCTGTAATGCTTTCAAATTCCTGTATAATATACAGTATGTCATGATACATGTACTCCAGCTTGATTGTGAATTTAGTCCTGGTGAAGTCGAGCAGAGCCAATAAAAACGGCATTAGGAGCAAAAACTCAGAAGTTTGTTCTTGTGATTCCCAAAATGTGCTGATACACCTCACAAAAGTAATTTGAGTTTCACTGCTCAGGACTGAAGGGACTGAAACTAGGGCTTTTGCATGGAGAATGTCACACTCTTTTCGGTGTCTAGATTGCCCTCATAAGAACGCAGAGGAAACGAGAACGTTTCAGTTCAAGAACCTAGTGAGCTGTCAAGATAGCATTCTAAATTACATGCAACTTTCATACTGATTATAATTGACTTTGAGGTTCATGATGAACACGATTATTCATTTGTTAATTTGTTCATGCATTTATTCATTTATGCATTCATTGATGCATTTATTTATTTGTTGCATTATAAAATATTTATGCATATGCATTTAATTATTAATTTATTACTATGCATATATATAAAAACTATTTTTAAATATTTTTAAATATTTTATTTATTTATTTATTTTTTTATTATTATTATTATTATTATTATTTTTTACTTGGCTTGTTGCATTGCATTCTACAATTCTGCCTTGGAATAGATCCAAAAGAAGGCATTTTATAAACCAGCATAATCACGCACATATGATGCCTGTAGGCAGCTCATTATGTTACAGAGAGTCACACAGTAGCGTCGCCATTCAGTTGAAAAATACATTAGCTCTGTGTTTCTTTATTTTTTCACAAAGTAGAAAATATGTAATCCTGTCTACAGTTATTAAGGTAATATACTGCCTCAAAGAGTTCAAGTGGAAAGTTCAATCTGGCACTTGTCGTAATTTGTAAAGCTTTTGGCATACTAAAACATTCTGAAAACATTCTTGCATTATTTATTTACCATGCATTTCTAGTGTAAAAAATGTGAGTGGTCTCAAACTATTTCAGCCTGATTATTTGCTTGTTTACACTTTAGAAGAGCTCACTTTAATTTATGAACTTTTAGAGAGAGAGAAAAACACCTATATGATGAATATCAAATCTAAACGAAACATTGATCTTTGAAAATGATACATGCATTGAGCTGTAATCTAAGTTTAATATCAAAGATGTCTCCCGGCCCTTTAATGGGCGAATCCGGCTGAGACTGAAGTCGTTATCAGGGAGTCCGTCATTTGTATCAGTTAAACGAACCGGGTTTATCTAATCGTCTATAAAGAACACCTGCTGCATTTGTCGTTCTCAGAGAAAACGTGCATTAAAAAGTGATTCATCCATTTAGCAAATCATGCACTAAGTGAATCTGCGTTTGAATGTAATATGTAGCCATTAGCACTTCCTCGTTCACATTGACAGAAGGCAGTGCCTCTTATGAATTTCACAATATCTCCTGAGATTCATCCTGACTGATGGATTTTATTGAATATTTTTTCTTTGTTTCTGGCAGTGCATCCATCATTTTGCCACTTGCCGAGTGTTTCCATGTATATATTAGCATAGACACTACGTTATTAGTCTGAGACGGATAGCTGGCGTTGAAGAGCCCACTTTAGTTTGGCAGCTCTTGATTTGTTTTGTTCCATTTAAGATTACGCTAAACTCTGAAGTTTTAGTGGTTTGATATCTACTTGGCTGCTTTTGTTTTGATTCTTTTATATTTTATTATGGATGGAAGAAGGAATACAGTATAGTCATATGGAGCAATGGGTTCAAAACTTGCAATCCACAATAGGCTGGATGACCTGACCAGCTGAAGAAGTAAACTGTGCATAAAGCAGGGCTAGAAAAGTAGTTCCACTTAAAAAAAAAAAGAAAAAAAGGACAGAGCTCAGGTGTATAATCAGCTATAATGTTGTCCAACAGTATGCTCGTAATGTCAGCGAACTCAAAAATAAAGAAAGCACTCACATTTATAGATTATTTTATCCCAAGGACGTAGGCAAATGAATGTGTTCGAAGTTTCCTGGAAAATGCGAAACATGGAAATTATGTCAATTTTAGACCCCCCCCCCCCCCCCCTCTCTTAAAAGCCCCCCTTCCCCCTTTAAGTGCCATAATTTCATCACTGTATTTTTCCAGTCTAATCAATATAATAGTCATAGTCTGTGAACAAAAAGAATGATTTGTATAACCATCTAATGAAAATGTCAGGGGAGGCAATTTTCAAACTTGAGAATAAAATTATGGACAAAAAAAGTATTTTTAGACAAGAAAGTATTTTATATAAAGTATTTTTTTTTATGCTGTCATTTATTTTTTCATTTATTTTTTTGTTTTTGTTTTTGCATTTGTGTATTATTCATTTATTCATATAATATTTATAATAATAAAATATTATCTCAATGCATTCTGGGATCTCTACAAATGATGCATGCTATGCTGCCCGAGAATATATCCTAAAGACAGCGTTTTAGAAACCAGCATAATCATGCACACGCTAGGCTTTATGTGCCATAACCGTCTAATCAATATAACAGTCATAAACGGTGGATGAAAAGAACGATTTTGATAACCATATAGCTCTTTTTTTCTGGGTAGACATTCATACTTGAGAATAAAATTATGGCCAAAAAGCTCTTTTCTGAGCGGAACTGTTTATGGAAATAGTGTGAGTGGGTGTGTGGATTTAGATTTCTCTAATTGATCTCAGGGAAAGAGAGAGGGCTGAATTTCTATTTTCTTTTTTCTTTCCCACCTCTTAATGGTTTACAGCTTTTTTTGCCTTTTGTTTCTTAATGTTTCTCCTCCTCCACTTACACTTGACGGCAATAAACTTTGCATTTTTGTTTTTCTTTTCAGGAGTAACATATCTTGATTTTTCAGCCAGCGCCAGAGACACCCACCTTACCTCATACTCTGCCTTTTGCCTCCCTCCAAGTCAAAACTCTTATAACGTATAATATCACCGTTCGTACGCAGGCCGTGTTGAACTCTGTTTTGGCAGGTATTTGAAAGTAGATCCTCGTCCCAGTCATGGAATGGTCCCTTTCCCTGAGGATGGCTGCTGGTTCCCTGTGGCAGAACTGATTTTCTACCCCCTCCTTTCCTTCCCTGCTTACATCACGCTGTCTGTCTGTCTGTCTGTCTGTCTGTGTATGTATCATATGTAGCATGTATTTGTCTTTGCATAGGTTCAAAATATACCAAGACTTCAAGTGTCTTCATAAAGGCTCACAAAATCACATGCTGTGAAATAGTTAAAGTGGAAGTGTGCAATTTTTGATGCTAAAATGCCAGATTTTTCCTCAGTTTTTGTGCAACATGAAAGTGCATTTAAACCCCATTTTACTTTAAAAACATGAGAACACTTGATTTTATCCATCAGTGAAAAGTGTTTGTCTGAAGTCCGGGCAAGAACCCTTCACATTGTCTTGCTCCAATGTAAAACTTGTACAGTTTGATGCTGATAGTGACTTTTGGAAAGGACACACTTCACGTGTGTTCAAGTAGAATAGGAACTTAATCTGAGGCAGAAGAGAGGATATTATTATTATTATTTTCACCTCACTGCCATGCAGTGGCGGCTGCTGGTCTTTCAAAGAGGGGAAGCTCCTTTTTCTTCTTTTTTTTTTTAAACTCGACTGTCAGGGGTGGGGATGGTGAAAAAAGCAGGGACTAGATGCAGAGTTGATGGGCTTTATTTTATTGATAAAAAAAAAAAGGGGAATAAATTGGGAGCAAAAAAAGGCAGGTAACGAGGGAGGACAGTGTGCGGCAAAATAACAAATAATCAGGAAACAAGATGGGAGTCGACACAATGACAGGAAAGCACATATGGCACAAGGAAAAACACATGACAAGCACAAGCCATGTGCTCATACCAAACATGACAAAAACACATGACCAATAAAACAAATTAAAAAGCAATTGTGCTCACACAAAATGAGACCTGAAGAACGATGAGAACACTCATAAGACACGTGTTCACACAGAACATGACAATATGAAAGCACACAGCTAGTGTAAAACACAAGCTGTGTGCTACACAGCACAAGACAAAACATGACATGAAAGCACGCGGCCGATGTAAACACAAACCATGTGCTACACAATACACAACACACTGAACAGAACGAACACGACAAGACAGAACGCTAACGTTACGCATGAGTACGACCATAAGGTCATCCTGTGCACTCACAACCGAAAACAAACACGCGCAGAATGCATGTCCGAATCCCAACACAAAAGTGAAACCAAACTAGACAGATGTGCCGTGATTCAAACACCACGCCCGCACATGTAACAAGACACCTGACATCGACGGAAGAAATGTGGGAATTAGGTTGAACTGTGAAATATCTGATGAAAATTGCAAATACTAAGAAATATGTTACAGCAGTTCGTCTGTCGAGTAAAATACACACAAAATCCGCGACGAGACTGAGCTCGAAGTCTTTAAACTAGCGTCCGCGTCAGCGATTTTTTTTATTGGGTGAAATCGCTGTCAATCAAAAGGAGATGCAATCCTCCAATCATCACGCGGACGCCCGGACGCCAGGCCAGCCCACTTCCCTATTCACCCCAGAGACGCCCGGCGTCCGTGGGCGGGACATAATCGCAGCATTTATCCAATGACAGTCTAGTTTAACAGCGCTGAAAAAAAACTGTTCAGGCAGCCCCATTTAAGTCAATGGACGCCGAGCTTCAACGGGGAAATGCCATAGGAAAATGCATGCACTGTGACGCGCTACAGGTATGCATGAGAAGGAGATCAAGTCAGCCGACTTGCTATTTGTAGCTTATTCTGAACAAACTCGTCTTCGAGATTACCGTGTTCTAACGCATTTTTACTCAATAAAATGTTAACACAATAGTACACATTCGACCATTATTTTTTTTGACATTATAGGGGAAGCTGAGCTTCCCTTGCAGTCTTAAAGAAATCTCCACTGCTGCCATGTCTAACCACCCACCGTCCATTAATGGAAGTCATTATGAGCTTTTGTTTCTCGAGACACTTCTCGTGTCTTTTTGCAGCATCCTAATAATTGAGGTTTAGCGTCTATAACTCGCACCCAAACAATGGAAAAAAGCCCAAGTCAATCAGCCCTCTGCAGATACGTTAAGCCAATGCCCCTCTTCTAGACGGAGTGCAGCTCATCTCAGGAGCCAGACAATCTGCACTCCCCATATGCCTTTAAATATGTATTATGCATGGAAATGCATAGCAGCTCACTCAAATTTTCCCTCAAGCACTGCTGTAGAGAGACTCACAGGCCTGACTTTGAGTCACACTTGCTGAAAAGCTTCAGTGGATGCTCTTCCAAATGAGTCCATCCCACTTTGCAATGCTTGATAGATTTTTAAAGGGTTAGTTCACCCAGAAATGAAAATTAAGTCATTAATTACTCACCCCCATGCTGTTCCAGCCCCGTAAGACCTTCGTTCATCTTCGGAACACAAATAAAGATATTTTTGATTGAATCTGAGAGCTAGATCAGTCCTACATAGACTGCCTAAGGGACTGGCTCTTGACGGCCCATAAAGTCATTAAAGAAAAGGTTTAAATATTCCATGTGCCTACAGCGGCTCAATTATAAGTTTATCAAGCGACGAGACTACTTTTTGTGCGAAAAAAACATAAATAACGACTTTATTCGACTATTCCATTACTTCCTTATAGGCGCATGCGCGAGAACTGAAACGATGACGTTCTCATTCGTCTACTTCTTGTTACCGGCTGCTCACCGCTTAGGAGTTTTACCGCCACCTACCGTATAACATGATGATCCATATATAAGGCGCTCTGGATTATAAGGAACACTGTCGTTTTTTGAGAAGATTAAAGGCTTTTAAGTGCACCTTATAGTGCGGAAAATACGCAAATTGAAAAGCGTATGTACAGCGCGCATCTTCCTCTGCTTGTAAACAGAAAGTTTTGCGCTTCCAGCTATATCAGCACATCATCTTATACGGTAGGGGGCGGTAAAACTCCTAAGCGGTGACCAGCCGGTAACAAAAAGTAGACGAATGAGAACGTCCTCGTCTCAGTTCTCGCGCATGCGCCCAAAAGGAAGTAATGGAATAGTGGAATAAAGTCGTTATTTATGTTTTTTTTCACACAAAAAGTAGTCTCGTCGCTTGATAAACTTATAATTGAGCCGCTGTAGGCACATGGAATATTTAAACCTTTTCTTTAATGACTTTATGGGCCGTCAAGAGCCAGTCCCTTAGGCAGTCTATGTAGGACTGATCCAGCTCTCAGATTCAATCAAAAATATCTTTATTTGTGTTCCGAAGATGAACTTATGGGGTTGGTACAGCATGGGGGTGAGTAATTAATGACTTAATTTTCATTTTTGGGTGAACTAACCCTTTAATTGTTTCTTAAAGGAATAGTTTAATCAAAAAATGATTTTTTTTTTTACCTCATGTCATTTTGTATTTTTACAGTGTAAAATTACTGTTTGTAAAGTGTATTGTAACTCTTTACAATAAGGTCTCATTTGTTACAACGCATCCCCATTCTAGGGCGTCATCTAACTGACACTTTTGACTATGCGTCTAAATCCGACGCACGTGGCAATCTTTAGCATCAGTTAGATGACGCGGGTAGGTTTAGGTCTGGGGTAGGGTTAGGGTTAGACTACAAGGAGGCGCATCTCATATTGACGCTAAAGGGTGCCATGTGCGTCGGATGTTGACGCATGGTCAAAAGCATCAGTTAGATGACGCCTTGGGATGAGAACGGGCTGTTTGTTAATGTATTAAATAACAAGAACGAGCAATGAGCAATACTTTTGCTTCAGTAATTATTATATTTGTTCATGATAGTTAGTAAAAATACAGTCATTCATTGCTAGTTTATGTTAATTCACAGTGCATTACCTAATGTTAAAAAATACAACTTTTACAATGTATTAGTAAATGATGAAATTAACATTAACTAAGACTAAAAGTTAACTTATTCTAAGATAAATAACTACTGTTAACTTATAAAACCGTATTGTAAAGTGTTTCCCTTTTTTATTTTATTCAATTTTAGTATTTCAACATTTCTAATAATAATGTTTATTTTAAGTTTTAGCTTTTTCCTCTAATATGTATATTTCATTATATTTCAGCTTTATTTCACATGTACCTAACAATAATAACCTGGTTCAGAAGTCAGGTTTTGGAACAGAGCAAAAGTAGTTGTTGCACACTTAATATATATATATATATATATATTTACCTCTCTACTGGTAGTTGCAGTTGAAACCCAACCTGCAGGTCTCTGGTTTAACGCTCTTCAATCTGTGTCCAGGTTATCGGGCGAGAACAGAAATGGTGAGAAGATGCAGCTGACGATGAGCAACATCGGTTCAGACGTTCTGGAGCTTCTCCTGGAGTTTGTTTATACCGGTTCCCTCATTATCGACTCGGCCAACGCCAAGACCTTACTGGAGGCGGCCAACAAGTTCCAGTTCAACACTTTCTGCAAAGTCTGTATCTCCTTCCTCGGTAAGAAATGTTTCTCTAGATGTTTCAATTTATCCAAAGCTGTGTTCCTAAAGCAACTAATTCGGTAACACTTTAAAATAAGCTTCATTAGTTAACATTAGTTCATTTATGAACTAACCATGAGCAGTACATTTGTTACTGTAAATACAGCTGTTCATTTTTAGTTCATGTTAGGTTCACAGTGCATTAATAGTGCATTTTATTATTGTGTAATTCATACTTTTTAATAAAGTATTAGTAAATGTTGAAATTAACTTAAATTCATTATTAGTTCATGTTAACTAATGTAGATAACTAATGTTAACTAATGAACCTTATTGTGTTAGTGTTACCACTAATTCGTTGCTGTTTGAATGAACAATAAATTGCATGTATTTCATACATCACCTGGATCCGTTTTTGTTCATCATTGCATCACGTCTGGTCAGTGAGATGGAGAAATATAGTCATGAAAAACAAAATCACGACTGTTTTCGGTGCAAGTAACCTTGTCTAACATTGAAAGAGGACCTAAAGAAATAAAAGCTGCGATGAGTGCAGAACATGATTGTAGTTTTCAATCTCTCATGGACAAATTATGATAATAGGCTTTCTAATGAGTTTGTTTTTGTAGGTACTCTAAAATCTTGGAGTAATTTACTGTAACTTCATGGCGAAGCCGTGATGGAATATGCTCGTTATTCATTCCGTCCATGTCTCATATTCTCTTTCTGAATTCTGTTTCCCTCCTCAGAGCTGGAGGCTTGTGTTATGTTGATTGACAGATGAACACACACACACACACACACACACACACACACACACACACACACACACACACACACACACACACACACACACACACACACACACACACACACACACACACACACACACACACACACACACACACACACACTACTGTGGACTGAAGTGAATCAGAAATACTGTTGCTCATTACAGCACTCGTAATGGCTTGTACGCTGCTTGTGATCAGATGTCTTGACAATGATATACACTAATATCTAGTAATCAGAATACTTTTCGTGATAATTTAGTCAGATATTACACTACAAGCCAGACTCCGAGGAGACAATCCATACATATTTCAGCATGTCGATCCTGTCGGGTGGCTGTGGCCGGCGATCTGCACCATTCACAACTGAATTGAGAATGTAGTGGAGTCTATTGAGTTTCAGAAGTTGCATTGAGATACAAAGCAGAATGCAGTATTAGAGTTTGAATTTGATCTTAAGTAAATTAAATAGATTAGCATTCTAATAAATTCACGCTAAAAGTGTAGTTTCTTTTTGTAGTTTTAATAAAAATGTTGCTGAATGACCTGTCATGCAACATATGACATATTTACAGAAACATTCATTAATGTTAAAAATCAGTGTTTGAAATGCCACCTATATTATATTTAATAACTTAACAGATATGTATTTACATTTATTTATAAATATATATATATATGACTATAATATTTATTTGTATAAATAATGTGTATTACACGTATGTATTTGCTTATGTATTTATTTTATGCCTGTAAAAAGAATAAATAGCCATTATTAGTCAAAATTGATGATAATTATTGTACAAAGCAGAATTCAAAAATAACGATTTGCATATAAATTCATGTTGTTAGTGTAGTTTTTTTTTTTAGTTTTAATTTAAATGACGTTAAAATGATTCGTACAAATATTTATGTATAACATTTATTTATAATATTTATTTTACATTTTATATTCATTATTAAGCGTATATATGAATTTATTATATCATTTATTATATTTATTATATTATTTAATATTTATGTAAATATATATATATATATACAAAGTGTATATATATATATATATATATATATATATATATATTTCCATTTGGTATTGGTTTTTCACTTAGCTTCATTTATTTATTTATTTTGTCTGTGTAAATAGGCATTTTTAGTCATTTGTGATTTTCTTGAGTGAATTTGGTTGTAGAATGCGGTTGTCACTCATTGCGGTGGTTGGTTGTGCGGTTGTAAATTGTTGGACCGAACTTTGAACTATTGGCGAAGTGACATTTTTTTTAACTATATTTGACGGCACTAAACTGAATTGAGTTATCGAAATGCTTTTTAACATGCATGAATTATGCCCTTTTTAGATTTGGGTTGATAAGGCAGGTGCGAGGAATGTGAATAATGAGTTTAGCTTCGGAATCAGAAAGTCAGTGTCGGCATCTTTGACAGCTCTGGTTTGTACTTCTCTTCCCATGAACCCCTGGGATCTGGAGCTTATTAATCTATCAGCACCTCAACAGCTATGAAATGACATTCTCTCCTGGTGGGATTTGCTGGAGTGCTCCATCTACTTCAGTATACAAAAAAAGTTATAGAAGAAAAATAGAAATGTGCAAGACTGACTTTAAAACTTCTTGTTAGCGTGACTGCTTCAGATAAGCGACATGACACTTGAATGCATATGAAAAGTGAACACTCGCCAAAGAAGATTCATCTTGCGGGCAGTCGAGATTTCATCAGCCGGAAAGAGTTCTGAGTTCTTATAATCAAGATGGTGCATTGAAGTATTTGGTGATAGAAATCAAAGCCACTTATGGTTTTATAACCTAATGTGCTTTCATTATACATAGCTGTGTTTTAAGTGCTACGACAAGACGAGTGTTTTCTTTACGCCTTTATCCAGAGCTCGCCTGATTTAACACAGCAAGAATAACGCTCACACCTACAATTTCACCCAATTAAAGCCAACAGTTATTTACTGTTGTAGATAATTGCATCTACATCTATAATAGCATCACTAAACTATTGTAAATTATTATTAGTCAAAATTATTGCACAACACAAAATTTAAATAGAATGCTGTGATTTTCTTTTTGTATTTTTTTTTAATTATAAAAATGTCACTTTTAAGCATGAATTACCCATAAACATGTCATACAACATGACATATTTAAATTAACATTACTTGATATTAAAAATTAGTGTTTGATCATATTTATTTATTTGTAGAAATATATCTTTATAGCATTTGTTTTACATTATTTCTAAAATATATATTTAAATGTTTTATGTATTTATTTATTATATTTCTATTTATTGTATTTATTATTATGACTGCTTGATATTTATTTAAAATTTGCTCTGCTTGTTTTTTATTTATTTATTTATTTATTACTATGTTGTGTAAACGAGAATACATACTGTAGGTGTTATTAGTCCTTAGTGATTTTTAGGACTAAATTTGGTTTTAGAATGTGGCTATAACTCTTGTAAATAATTGGACCAAATGGACGAAGTGACATTTTTTTCACTGTATTTGACGGTCCTCAGTTGATGGGTGAACAAATTTACAATCAATGCATCACATAATGGAAATCAAATGAATAATATACAGGTTTAAGTCAAAACTGCTGTTTTAGTTGTGCATTATGAAGAATGAACAGGTTTAATGGTGGTTTTGTTGACCTTTCATGGGGTAAAAAAGGTCTGTGTCTGTCTGGGCTTGGCAAAGCCCTCGGAGAGCCTCCTGTCCAATCGATTTCCATGCTTAGGTGTTTTTTTCCCACTAGCTGCTTGCGATATTATACTCGCAGCAACACACTTGGATAAATGTAATCTTCCAACACCTCTCACTTTTAATGCGTTCAGGGTTTATTTCCCTGCTCATGTGTGTGTGTGTGTATGTGTGTTCCTCTCGCAGAGAAACAGCTGACGGCCAGTAACTGTCTGGGAGTATTGGCCATGGCAGAGGCGATGCAGTGCACTGAGCTCCACAACATGGCAAAGGCCTTCGCCCTGCAGAACTTCCCCGATGTGTCCGGTCAAGATGAGATTCTGAACATTTCCAAAGAAGACCTGGTTAGTTACATGTCCAACGACAGCCTGAACACAAAAGCTGAGGAGCTGGTCTATGAGACGGTCATTAAATGGATTAAAAAGGATCCCAGCAGCAGAGTCCAGGTAGGAAACCTGGCTCATGTCTACATCAACCCTGGTTCTGTTAATCATGCTGTTCATTGGTGGTCACGTACTGTATAAATATGCTAGAGCTGCTCGGAATTGATCTGTTTTCCTGAATAATGTCCCACGATAGAGAAACTTTTCATCAAATGTGGTACATAGGAATTTAGTACGACCCAATTTAACTAATAGTTTTACCACAACCGTTCATCCAGTGTTGTAGTTGAGACCACCTCACTCGAGTCCGAGTCGACACCGAGACCAGAGAGAGTCGAGTCCGAGTCAAGACCGAGTCCATAGAGAGTCGAGTCCGAGACCAGAGATGGTCGAGTCCGAGTCGAGACCGAGACCAGTGAGGGTTGATTACAATTTACTTTTATTTACTTAGAGAAATCCTTTTTTTTTTTTTTTAATGAATTTACTTAGAGTTTAAAAAATATGATCAGTTTAGGGTAAAAAGGCCACATAGTAGGTGGTGTTAAAAGTAATTTTATTACAATTTGTCATGCGCAGTTGCGCACTAGAAAATCACCAATCACTGGGCGTGTCAATCAATTCAACGAAATATTTTATTAACATACATTAATAATCATGAAAAATATTTTTAATTCAACTCGAGTGGACTCGGGAATAATTCCGAGTCCTAAAAAAAAAAAATGTTCGAGTACGAGTCAATTCCGAGTCCAAATGGACACGAGTCCATGACAAGACCAAGACCATTAAAATATGGTCTCGAGACCGAGTCCGAGACGAGTCCGAGTCTCGAGTACTACAACACTGCGTTCATCCATGTTTCATTTGTTTACTGTGCGTTCAGGGTATTTCAGACATCCCATAGTGGAGAAGTACAATTTTGCAAAGATTTGGGTCAGTGTGTGTGTGTGTATATATGTACGCATTAAATTTATCGAAAGTGACAGTAAAGACATTTATAATGTTACAATATAATTCTATTTAAAGTAAATGCTGCTCTTTTGAATTTTTATTCATCAAACAATCCTAAAAAAAAAAAATGCATCATGGTTTTGATAAAAAGTTAGTCAACATTGATTGCCATTTTCAAAACATTGATACTAATAAGAAATGTGTATTGATCCCCAAATTATCAACGCTTAGACAGTGGTGCTCTGAATTAATGGCACCCCTGGTAAATAGGATCAACATGTTTTGTAGAAAAACATTTATTTCATAATGGGATCCCCACCCATTTTCAATTACTTTGCTTAAAAGGTTAGATTTGTGCAAATTTATTTTAATGAAAGATCAAAAGGATATTCAGATTTTTTTACAGACATTTTTGATCATATTTACCAGGGGTGCCATTAATTCTGAGCACCACTGTATATTATATAAACGTCAAAGCAGAATGGGAAGAATGTCATAATCTCACAATAACAAACGATAAGTTATTTGAGATTAATCTTGTGGTGAGAGAAATTTGCATCTATACTTTTAAATCCAGATATGACCAAGTTGGGTATAAAAGATGTCATATCGACCATACTAGACTGACTCATGAGGATTTTTCATTTCTGTAATGTAATAATGCTGAAAATTCAGCTTTGATCATAAGAACAGATTTTGAATTGTAATATTTCACAATATTTCATTTTTACTGTATTTTTGATCAAACAAATACCTTGATGAGCATAAGAGACTTAAACAAACTTGTGTCCAGTATTTTGAAAAGTATTTTGAATTGGCTGATTCATCTGTACACAGCAAATTCTGTTTTTTTGGAATAAACTCCCTGTTAGTTAAAATCAACTCAATCTGAGTGTACATGTGAGACCATCAATTAGACTCCAGCGCAGAGTTAAAATAACTCTGCTCTTGGAGTTAAATTTTTAACACTTTTTTCAGAGTTAAAATGGAGTTAAAATACTAATCCTACAGAGAGTAAATGTAACTCTAAAATTAATTATATGAACTCATTACCAGTGTTACCAGTTTGTTTAACACTTCTTAGAGTTAACATTTATTTAACACAATATAATGTTTTGTGTGGAAATTACTACACTGGACACCATACTCTTGATTTACTGCCTTTATTTGAGCAAATCCATTTGGTTCAGACTTGAGGAGGAGTAACCTTCAACCGCTTGCTGCAGGACAGTCGTCTGAAGATCACAAAAACAACAGCATGAGGCATAATATAATCTAGCACCATTCATTGAGAATGCAAAAATATATAAGCTCAAAATCACGCACATCGTGGGTCACCACTAATATAGCCTAACGTTACATAGCTGTTACAATTCAATTGCCTGTAATGCATTGATGCATCAATTTCACGGCAAAACACTCATTTTCAGAAACACGGTGAATGGAAAGATGGTTAGCTAATGTTAACTCGTTTACATTGACAAAAAACCCACGCAAATAGCCATTTCAAAATTTGAAACAAGTCATTTAAACATGCGTTCAACAGCAAGTTTGTCATGGTCGTTGACGTTAATTAGTAAACAAACTAGCCTGTAACGTAACAGCTACGCGATGACCAAACGTGTTTGTCAGAAAATATATTTTTTAAATAGTTTTATATAAGTTACACTTTTACCTACCTCACGACGAAGCGTAAGTCCATTATTACTTTGTGCAGCGGCAGGGTCGTGTCGTGGCGCACTTCTCAAAAATAACTCCAGGTGTAGTGTTAAAACACGCTCCTGAACACCAATGAATGAACTCCAAAATACAACACAGCCGGGGAGTATAACACAAACCGTAGTCAGAGTTAAAAAAAATAACTCCAAAAAATTAACTCTTTCACACTTTTTTGCCAAACTCATGATTTTTCAACTCCTGAAATTTGCTGTGTATTTGATTATATTTGAAACTAAATTTACAGGAATATTGATATCAAAGATTGAGCAGCCCTCAAATATGTGTACAACCAGCTCTCAGTCCCAGAATAAGAGAATGAAATGTAAACCAATGCCTCATCTGAATGTGTGCTGAAGGAATACTCCATCCTTGGTGTTTAAGCCGAAGCTTGTGTTTGGATCTTCTGCGGCCAGAAGAGTTTCAGAGCAGGTCTGATCCTGCCGGATTCGGAAAGTGACGAAAAGCTGAAAAGGAGACAAAACATCACGTTCTTTGTGCCTGTTTGACAGAAGAGCAAGATTAAATCACTGGTGTGCAGAAAGTAATCAATTTCTGCAAATGTGCTATCCTTATTGAGAAATGGTCTTTTATTTTCTTCCTTCGAGGTGCAGCAGACTTTACTGATTTTCATATTTGTGTGAGCATTCAGAGATGATCTGAAAAGAGTCCCAGTAATACGGAAATGAAACATTCATGATGTCGTGCTCATGCTGAGCGTTTGAGGAGATTATCATCTTGAGAATGTGCTGTTATGTCCTTACATTAAGTATACTAAAAGCCACTTGATTACATGCTGTTCTGTAGCAAAAAAGAGAGGAACTGACTGAAGGGGAAGCGTATCATCCCACTCTGGCTGGACATCAGAGCTTCAGGCCAAGATGTCATTGTTCCTTACAAAAGTTTAATGTTCACTGTTAACATTGAGACCAATAATAACCCTGTTTCAAGACTACCTTGGCTCCTTTCCAAAATGAAGGGTGAAGTGTGTTTCTGCACTGTATTCTATATCTATACATTCTTAAATTCATAAACATTTACTTGATATGAAGTCTTTATCAAAATGATCACACACACGGAGCAATTGGTCCCCCACCTGCATTTCCTGCCGGTACTGAGACTCGAACCAGCAAGCTTCGGGTTTCAAGTCCAAATCCCAGTAGGCCACAACTTTTTTTGCAGTGTGGCAAGAAGGCTGTGCCAAAAAAATACCCATAAATAATTCAATATAGAAAGTATTGCTAAAAAAGTTAAGTCATCTAAATAATGATATAATACAAATATATATATTTTTAATGTTCTCTGTATATGTGTGCGTATTAGAGTGTCACTGCAACAGCTCACTATGTTTTGGAACAGAGCCCATGCCTGAAGGTCTACAAGTTTCATAAATGACACGTTTTCTCCAGTGTAATAACTTGTAACTTGTTTCCGTGGGCTAAGAGATGTACATATTACGTAAGTGTTCTGCTAAAGGGTTTATTTTAAGTTTCTAAACAGTCAGCAGTAGTTAAAAACATGTGCTATGCTAATTAAGATTAGCATTGGTTGCATTATTTAAATGTCACCAGATGAAGCTGTCATTTTAGAAGTTCATGTCAAACTTAAATGGAAATCACTATGAATGTGCAGTGTTGGCAGAGCTATTTTGACTCCAGGTTGTCAAGATAAAATATACTAATACATAAAGATACATAAATTGCAGTCAAGATATTCAAGTTAACTTTTTTAGGGCAAGCTACAGTACAAGCTAAGAACAAAAACGTACTTTTAACGACACTGAAGCTTTTTTTAAGGAGACAGAAAATGAAACATATCTATGTGTATGTTGTACATAAAGAATGAATGAATTAATATATATGTTTCTCAGCTGGATAAAGCAAACCAACTTCTCGCAAATAAAGTTTTGATGGATGCAAGGTTTGAAGGTAAAGCAGAATGCAGTGTCGTTCAGCAGTCGTACAGTATGCAAGCCTGAGTCTGTTATTGATGCGCAAACAAGCCATGTACAGTATGTTCGCTCTCTACGCACTAATCACATATTGTATTCATGACACATTTTAGTGCATTCACGTTGTTTCCACACACATTCAGGATAACGTTTTTATCTGGCATGTGTATGTACTGTATGTTGCTGTGATTAGTATTTCTGATTGGATTTGTGTACTATTGTAGCCATATAAAGCAGTCAGCTCAAGGCGGTTGGTTTAGTTTTAGGTGGTTGGTTGTTTTTTTATTTTTTTGCCATTTCCATGTGGTCCTGTTCAGAATCGCAATTTTATACTGTATATACTGTACACTGAATTCTGAAAAGTTTTTTTTTTTTTGCACATGTGTGCACATGTTTTAATTATATGAACTCTTCATATCATTTGGTTATTAGGTGTCCTTTGGAGTTT